GGGCAAAGGCATGGGGGTCAGGGCGGGTGAAAGGGTATGGAGGTCCGGGGTGCGGGGGGGGGCACTGCAGCAGCAGCAGCACTGCAGATGACAGGTCAAGGTGCCGCTAAAAAATGAGCTGGAAGTGGGGAGCTTGCTTTAATTGGCTTTACTAAGCTGCCAGGCACGCCTGCCAAGGGTGCGGGGCCGGGGATGGTGTGCGATGGAGCGGGTTCTCGATTGCAGGCCTGCTGGTTCGAGCATGCCCAAGATCGTGCTGAATGGCATCACGGTGGACTTCCCGTTCCAGCCGTACGCGTGCCAGGAGGCGTACATGTCCCGGGTGCTCGAGTGCCTGCAGAAGGTGAGTTTCAGGAGATATTTGGGCGCTGGGCTGGGGGGCTCTGTTGCAGGAACGCGGGTAGGGTTGCGTATCCCTGCTTCTCGAATGGCCCCTTCTAGGTACAGCGCTTGGGGGCTGCTCGCGGGCCAAGTCATTTTTCCAAGGCGCGCTCTGTTTTAACAGGGTGATGCGAGGGAAGATTAGTTCTCGGAATAACGCAGCTCCAAGGCAAGGCTGTTCGTGTCAGGCATCCAGGTTGTAGCCGTATTAGTGTAGAGGCAAAAGGAATCAGACCTTGTGGTCAAGGTGAACTCTGTTATTAGACCAACTAGATTTTTGCAGAAAAATATTCTTTCATTGCAAGCTTTTTGTGCAGTTTTTTTTAAATCACTTTGGTTGGTTTAACCTAATCCATGTAAAAATAAGCCAGCATTTCATATGTTATAGTCGGGGCCTCCCAGCCTTCACCAGCCATGGAAGACAGATTCATCGGGGGGACAGCGAGGAATAGGAGCTGCTCTGCTTGCCAGGGCACCCCTTGGAGTAACTAGAAATAATGGCCACAAACTGATGGAGAGCAGATTCAGGTTGGACATCAGGAAGAACTTCACGGGGAGGGTTGCCAGAATCTGGAATGGGCTCCAAGGGAGGTGGGTGGTGCTCTCCCCTACCTTGGGGGTCTTTAAGAGGAGACTGGACAAGCAGCTGGCTGGGGTCATCTGACCCCAGCGCTCTTTCCTGCCTTGGGCAGGGGGTCGGACTCGATGATCCAGTAGGTCCCTTCCGACCCCAATATCTACAAGTCTATGAATCTGTTTCTGCAAATAGAACATCTGTAGCCTTCTTATAGCATAAATAGCTTTGCACTTGATCTGGTCAAGTGGGAATAAACAGTTAAATGCCTCTATTAAAAGAGTCTGTGGTGCAGTAGCTGTTTTCCTGGTGATCCACTGCAGAAGTTTAATTCTTGTGTTGATTATAAATGGCAGTCTATGGAAGCAGCAGTGAAATGTATTGAGAAGGTGCTGATTTCAGAGCAATCCAGTCTGCAAGTTGTTAAAGGAACCTGTCACAATGTAAAGCGTGATCTTTTTTTCCCCCCTTTGCCTCGCTCCTAAACTTGGGAAAAGGAAAGAAAACCAAGTCATCCTTATGTTCAGGCAATCTGTCGTTTTGGGGGTTTTTTTTAAATTGGCTGTTTTTTTTAAAACAGCCTATTGCTGTTTTATCTACTTGGCAGCTCCCTAAGACAGTCGTATTGAAAGGATGTCAAATAAGGAAACACTTTTCACAATGCAGCTTATTCTTTGTCTGGAGTGTGTATGGCAGTATCTCTGAGATGCTTGTTCGTGGGTAGGATGGAACAAAGAGCTGAGCTCTGCTGTGGAAGCATTAGCAAAGTTTGATCTCTCTGACAGCCCAGCATGCGATCACACCCCAGCTGCTGAGCTGGTTGGTTGCTTACTTGTGCAGTTGGCCCGTTATGAGAAATAAAAAAACTAATGTCATTTGAAACCAGGATGTAAAATGCCTTCTCTTAATATTGTTTGGGCATAAGCTGCCCCGACCAACGTGAACCCAAGTATAACTCTTCTCAATCCATGTAGAATGCAGTGTGAGACCATTTTAAAGCTGTAATATCTAACGTGTGCTGCCCTGAGATATTTAAAATTGGGCCCACTGAGACGGGTTCAGCTCCATTTTAAACTCTGTGGTTGTATTCTGTAGTGTGGAATATGTGTTCTTCTTGCTTAAGAAATCAGTAGCCATCAGTAATCATTTTCAGTTTTGGCCTATCACAGAAATTGATCATATTTTCATTTATTCAAATCTGAATTTTGACTGAGGCTGTTTCTCCTAAATAAATGATAAAATAGACCATGGCTCTGGAATTAGAATTGAGTTCTACTGACTTGTATTGTGAGTTCTGCAGGTACCACTTCACATGGTAGTTTCAAAGGGGGTGTGTGTGTACACGTGCTTTTGAAGATATATAAGTATCTGTTTCTAGAGTGTGGTATAAGAGACTGCGATAACTTTGAACGCAGCTATGAATAGTATAGTGAAGCAAATGCTCTTTTTCTAGGAAAATGCTATGCTGTCAAGTAATCAGTGAATCCTTGAGTTACTTTGAGCTTCTCTCACTGTTTTCCTTATCCATAAAGAAGGTGAACGGCATTTTGGAGAGCCCCACAGGTACAGGGAAGACATTGTGTCTCCTGTGCTCTACACTAGCTTGGCGGGAGCATTTTAAGGATACTGTCTCAGCACGGAAAATTGCACAGCGCATGAATGGAGTGGAGCTCTTTCCTGATAGACCCATGGCGTCCTGGGGCAGTGCTGCCACAGATGCTGATATCCCAGGTAAATGCTCCAAAAGTGGGCCGTGATTTTTTATGCTGTTTGGCTTTAGAAAAGGATGTCAGTGGTTGCTTAGTATGTTTTCCATTTTCAGTTCTTGCCAAGTACTTATTACTGCCACAATGGCATAGTTTAGCAGCTGAAGCATTATTTCTTACTGTCTTCATGTAACTTTTTACTTTGCTCGGGGCATTCAAATATCCACTTAATTCATAATTTGGTTGTGAACAGTTAGATTGTAAAATTGCTTGATGCCTCCATTGGTTGAGCTGTTACCATAGCACCAGCTGGGAAAGGAGGGTAATAATATCTTTAGTTTTTCCTTCAGTTTCGTGCTAATAATATTTTTCTCTGCTTTTTTCCTCCATTTGGCAGCTTATTACACCGATGTCCCTAAAATAATTTATGCCTCCAGAACCCATTCGCAGCTTGCACAGGTCATTAGTGAATTAAAGAATACAGTCTACAGGTAAATATAACTCAGCTAGAGTGAAGGGATAGATACCCAATCATGTGAGGGATTATTTGAATTGGGGTGGACAAATATATGTATCTAATGATGCTGAAGTTCCATTCTCCTAATGCGTATGGATAGAAATGAGACTTCTCTTACTTCCTGCCCATTCTCCCTCTAGTCTGCAGTGCTCATTTTCTTCTCCTTTCTTCACTCCTTTGCCAGAATTTCCCAGGCTTGGTCCGCAGCCATCATTTTATTTGGTTCACTTTTCTTCTAAAGTTGTCTTAGAACATCTGTTTTCCCTAGAACCCTGTAAACTTAATTTGTTTGAAGCAAAATGTTTCATCTGTTTTGCGTAGTTTTCTTTGTTCAGATTTCTCAGTGTTGTGGTTGCATGCCTGCCTGTGATTGTTTAATGAAACTCTATGGTTATGGGGCGTTTCTTTTACATTTCAAGAAGAGAACTAAAAGCTGTTGCAGAATGGAACAGTTTAGAGCACAGTTGGTATGGACAGCTCCATCTGTGTCACACCAAGGTCTGTCTTAGTTATCTGTAGCAAACAGAGTGTTTAGCAATTTAATCAGTCAGATTTACATTGGGTGCTTATCTTGCTGGGATCCTTTGACCCCAGCTGACTTGGGCAGGGGGCTGGACCTGATGATCTTATGAGGTCCCTTCCAGCCCTAATGTCTATGAAATCTATGGAGTTTGATTGCTTGCTTTTAGTAAGAACTGCTACAGTAACTAGCTCTAGTCTTACTGTCTCTGAAATAGGTTTCAGTAGGGAGGGTTTTCTAGGTCCATGATGTGTAGTGTGGGGGCTTGCTGTGTAATCTTGGCAGGGTCCAGATTTTGTAGGGACAGTTTTTGTTGGAGTAGACAAGGTATTGCTGGTTGCCTCCTAATCTCATCAAAATGACTTAAATTCTCAAACATTGTGGTGGTGATTGTTGTTGCGGTTACTTTTACTATTACATTCTCAATGAGATACCTAGCAGTGGAAGCCTTGACCTTCGCAAAGTTTCTTTTCTGCGCCGCTGTGGCTCAGCCAGTGCTTCACGTTTGTGATGCTTGACATACTAGTAACTTCTACCTACATAAGCCTTTTTTTCCTTCCTCTTGTATTTTTATGTGTGTATTCTGTTTGAACAGGCCAAAGGTATGTGTGTTGGGCTCCAGAGAGCAGCTTTGTATCAACCCTGAAGTTAAGAAGCAGGAGAGTAATCATATGCAGGTAAGAAGGCATGCACAGCCCATATACTTAAGAGAAACCCAGCTCTGCCTGTCCTTTCCTGTGTTGAAGTGGGACATTTACCCTGTGCCTCCCTCTGACCAGACACCAAAACGTACATTATCTTGCAGATCTACATGTGCCGAATGAAGGTGACGTCCCGCTCTTGCCATTTTTACAACAATGTGGAAGGTAGGTTTGGCTGTGGAGATGGTGCTCTGGTTTTTGGAGAGGTGGATGGAGCCATTAAAAGGGAATGGCAGAATCCACCAGCCTGTGTATAAACGCACATGCATTTTACTGTTAATTGGTTTGTTAGCTCATGGAGTGGACAAAGAGGTGGTGAATTGTTAGCTCTTGAATGAAGTTTTTCTAGTTTGTTCAAAGAATGGAGCATGGACAAGTGAGCTTCCATCTTCCTTGGAGGGTGAATCCGTTTGCATTGTGAAGACACCAGCTGCTAAAATTCAGGGGATAACATCTCAGATATGAAACTGAAGATGTAGATTCTGATTTAACAAGGAAAATATTTTATAATACACTTGCAGATATTTGGTGATCCAGATTTTCAGACTAGTGCGCATGAATTGGGACAAACAGTTGAGTGATTGTAAGTGAAATCACAGTAAAAGTGGCCACGGCCAGGTAATGTCCATTGCACCACCAGTGCCGATATGGTTCCATAACTACACACAATACCTCGGCTAATGCAAGTGTTGCTGTTGTGCACTCATCGCTCACTATTATTCACAGGGTTTAAAGTTTGCTTGTGGTAGGAAGCAAATCAGTTATTTCTAGAACACATGAAACAAACATGTTTTAAATCAAAATGCAAGGGTTTTTTTGCAGTGGATGCCTTACAAGGTATTGAGAGCTTCAAATATCCATCAGCAATTTCCTGGTAGGACTCGGTTGAGACAATAATTTTTGAAAGCACAGAAAATGATGTGTTGTTGTCTAAAGAGAAAAAAGGGTCCTTTGTGTTAATTATGTTTCAGCTTCTGTGATGGGCTTCTAGCCAAGTTTAAGGTTGTAAGCCAGCATATTATTTTAGCAGCTGATTACTGGAAGGAAAATAGAATTTGCTGTCATGAATTTGGAATGCCTTTTGTATTGACTGGAAAAAAATCCCTTAAAAATCTATCTTTTTACAGAGGCTGGAAAGGTCAGCTGTCAGGTCCAGTATGGGAAAGCAGAAGTATTTTGCTGTGTGAATACCAAAATGGAGGAAAATTCTGTTTGGGGTAGCATGCTAGCAGTAGATAACATTTTATTCACTAAAAGTGATTCAGTCTGAAAAGGAGAGCACATCTCAGATGGAGGATAAAGTGACTGACTGGAGAATGAAATGATCAGTCAAAACATGTATGCTGTCTAGGTCTTATTCCTGACAGACCCTGTAAATGGTTTGCTTTGGTTTGGGTTCAACCAGCACGCTGCTGAAATGGTGTATCCTTTAACTGCCAGAAAGGCGTTCTGAGACAGAAGGGTAGGTTTAATCTGTTCGGGCACAGACTAGTCCTGTCAGTCATGCATTGCTTGGGTGTTTATTCCTTTCTTCCCATTGTACATCTAGTTGAGGTAAGAAATGAAGTGGTCTCGTGAGTGCTGGTAAGCTGTCTGTTCTCCGCTTGAGGCTTCTCTTTCTCATTCAGAGAAACTGGTAGTTTAGTGTTAAATCTCTGTGACCTGGAATCCAGCTGAGATGAGAACAGATCTGTCCCAGCTATATTTGTAGTAATAACCTTCCTTTCAGCTCACAGTTTCGTATGTTTTGCTAATCTACCTCCAGCATTCTGCTTCTGTATTTTACTAGCCATGTTCAATACCGGGAAGCAGGCAGTGGCAAAAGTGAGCAGGTACAACTTATCCTTTTATAGAGAGCTTGCACTTGATTTTTAAATGCAGACTTGCAGTTCTACCAATGCAACCCAGCCCTTGTGGTGTCTATCTGTTCTGTGGCGCTGGGCTTCAGCGTTCCCCTCCCTGATCAGCTCATAGTTGCTGTACATGTTCTACCTCTCCAGTGCCCACCATCTCTATGAGTTTCCTTCTTTCTTGCCTCTGGGTGTATATCGGTACCAAAAGGCATGCAATGAGCAGAAGACCTGGTTTGCTACTGTAATTCATGTTCATTTCCAGTAGATGTGGTTTGGAATGCTGCATTTTTACCCTTGTTTTCAGGTCTGCAATTTTCAGTGCCAGACTTTTCCATACATACACAGTACCTGTGTCTGGCTTTTCGTAGTGACGATACTCATCACAAAAGAAAGAGAATCCTGTACATGATGTAAATGCAAGAGGTATAGGGATTTTTATATTTGAAACTTATTGACAGTTTCCAGACTAGCTTTCAGCAAAAGACAAGTGCAGCTGCTGAATCTACAGTACTTCAATGCAGCCTTTTAATCTGTTCTGAAAATCTTGGGTTCACTTTAAGGCAGATGGAACAATAAATATTTAGGAAATAAATATGATAGTTATTTGGGCTTCCTAATAAAACCAGAGATCGAGTTGTTTATCTGAAGTCCTTGCCAATTTGATGTATGGTATGGATGGGGAGGAAGCATTGTGTATCTACAAGCCAAGGGCCCGTTCCTACTTATGCCATGGACATATACTTCCCTTATATAATTCCACTATGTAATTTCCTTATAGCTCAGTTTCATAGGGTCATAAGAAAGTAGTGACCTCATGAGGTCCTCTAGTCCAGCCTACTTCTTAAGGTTGGATTGTCCCTGACTTAAAACATCCTTCTTTGTAAAATAGGTAAGCAACCTGTTTCACATGAGCAGTGAATTACTGATTATAAAACATTGAGATTTTTGGAGCAAAGGTATTCCACAGGTGTAAAACTCAGTTTTAATTGTTTTGGAATAGCTAGTCCTGTGTGTATACAGTGGTATTGTGGCTGAATAAGTGCTCTCAACAGGAAGTGCATGCAAGTCTCCCTGTGGGCTGAAAAAAATCAAACAGCAGCAAATGAAGGCCTGGCTCCTATGAAAAATGAATACCTGACTTGGCATTGTGAATGCTGTTAGGGAAAATGGGCTTTTCTAGTGGCTTGCTTGACAGGCTTCTGTTGCTGCTGTTCAGGTGATGATAGAGGAGAAGCAGGTTGTTTGGGGAATAATAGAGTTACAGAAATAAGATTATCCATCCCATCCATTAAATGGGATAATGCTTTGCCCGAGTGCTGTAGAACTTTGGCTCTCAATTCTGCTTCCAGCATTTTGGCTGTCATTTCAACCACCCACGGGCCAGAGCATCTGCCAGAAACCAGCACTGTTTGTTGGGCAGTTCTGACAGCAGGGACCATGCCTTTCATGATGTAGGCCCTCCCCAGGAGGTCACTGCACAGCATAGAGGTTCCCATCTCCTGGCAAAATATTACACCACCGAACTTATTTCTTTTGAAAAAGAGAAGTCTCTTGTTTCTAGCAAGGTTTTAGCAATGCAGTGTGTTGTCCAAGTGATCCATTCCTGAAAGTTGGAAACGTATCATGGGGATTTTCTGTCACAGCCTCAGCCTTAAATAAACACCTGACCACTTATTCTTTTTTGTGATTTGAGTTTGAGAGGGGAAGCAGTACTAAGACAGTTTATTAGTTTGTGGACTACTAAGTATTTGGGTATAGTTAGATATTGTTCTGCTCCTGAGAGTCTCTGGCCTTTCATTATCCATCTGTATTTAGTTATACTGTTTCTGCCCATCTAGAATGGGAGCTGGGAACTGAGCCCTTCCATTATATTCCTAATGCAGTTTAAAATGTCTGATGTTCACATGGAGAGGACAACAGTCCTTTTCTTTTCCCTTTTTCTTTTCCTTTCTTTCAAAGCCATCTCTGCACTGAAACAATTCAGCAAATGGCTTAAACTTTCATTGTGTTTCTCGCTGCTTATTTATCTGTAGCTGAAGCACTGCTAGCACTGGTGCAGCTATAGCGCAGTGTGCTTATGGGTACGGCACAAAAAATAGTGTCAAGCTCTACTTTCAGCCCAGGCAATCAAGGCTGGAGTTATTGATGGAAGCCACTAAGTGTGAAGGGAAACACAGGCTCTCACGGGATGCATTTATTTAGCTATTTCCTGTAAATGCAACTATTCTTTCTGTCCTTGCAGAAAAGAGTACAGAGAAGGAACTGACAGACTCCATCATGGATATCGAGGACTTGGTTAAAAAAGGAAACAAGCACAGGTAAATGTTTCTTTCTGTTCCTCTTACTCCTGCTTTGGGGAAATCTTTTTTTAGTGCTAGATTCACATGTGCCAAATTCATACAAAAGGAACAGAATAACAGCAGGGATGAGCCAGGCAGAGTGGAGGCATATGTTGTGCAAACAGTTTCCAGCAAGTGCATCTTTGCACTCATGCCTCCTGCCAGTTGAGTTTTGCTGGGATAGAATGGTGCATTTTGGTCACGATGCATCACAGAGTCCAAATATAGAGCAGGGTCAGACATAGGAGTAAGACAGGTCTTTCATGAGCAGAGCCTGGTAATTATGTCAAACTATACAGTGGTTTTCTAAGGCATATGACACCTCTAAACCCTGTGCTACCATAGATTTAGCGATCTAACCCATCACATGAATCTTGGCCTATGGAGGAAAAACATTAGTGTATTAGCTTTTCTCCCCTTCTGTGTCTTACTCTGTTTTGCTGCACTGGGCACGTGGATATTATTTCTGATATTCCCTTTTACTGAACCATGGGCACACGTGGATGGAACAAGCTATCTGCTTTAAGATCTAATGGATCAATTCCAGTCCATTAAGAAGCTGATTAGGAAGGCTTGAGAGCCTGAAACATAATAAATGAAGGGGGAGTGCACTTTTAGTCTTTCTGTGGGTATTGTTTTATGGTTCATAATTATTTACTTATTTTTAAACAGAGCTTGCCCTTATTACTTATCTCGGAGCCTGAAGCAGCAAGCTGATATTATATTTATGCCGTACAACTACTTATTGGAGTCAAAGGTAACATCTTTGTCTTTTTAAATGTAAATGCTATTTTATCAGCTTTTAGTAGATCTGCCAAAAAGTGCAAAACAAGAAAACTCATTGTGTGATGCATTTAAATGTGAACCAAAATTCTCCATGTACTGCATCAACTTTATTTAACCAAGAACCTTGGATGGCTTCTCCCTACCCTGTTGTTAAGGCATATGTTTGTATGGTTTTTAACAACAGCTCAGTTTAATTCAGAAAAGTTTACCCTGAAGAACACAAACATCCTTTTTAGTGCCTGGTGGGCATGAATACATTAATTTTCTTTAATTCATGCCTTCAGTCAGCTGCTAGCCAGAATTTTTCTCGCATGCATTCTGGAGAACCTTTATTTTGTTGCTGTTGTCAGCTCTCTAGACGGTTGGAGTCTTGACTGACTGGGAATGCAATGTGCCTTTGAAATACTGCTTAGCCTTTTCAGGCTGCATTAAGAGGGTACTCTGTGTTTCACATATAAAAATAAGACCTCTGAGGTTTGTATTGGAAAAATAAATGCCTGGACATCATCATATAAGTGATACTTGTTTTGAAAGCGGAATATATAGAATACTTCATAACAGCAACTAAACAACATCCTTTCAGTGTGTTTTAGCCATTTATAGCACATTTTGAAATGACTATCTGATGAAGTACTCCATGATGATAAAACAGAAACTGATCTATGGTATCTGTGATACTTATTTAGCTATAAATAGTAAAAAGAAAGAAAGAAAGATAGATTCCAAGATTTCTTAACACTTGATTAATATTAAACATAACCCCAACAGCTTTATCCTATCAATCAGACAGGAATTGGGCCAACCAGACACCTCTGGGATGACTCCTTTTCTACCTTTTTCTCATCCTGGGAGGTATGTCCTCAGCCCTGCTAAAAAATCCTGCCTCTTGCAACATGCTCCAGAGGTCAGCAAATTCAGTTGTTTTATGCCAAGATGGATAGAAATGTTCAGATCCCTGAACCCCTCTCGAAGAATACCTGGCCAGTTGCATTTTTGTATTGAAAGGATTTCAGCTTGATTACCTTCACCTTATTGCAGCTGTGATGGTTTGGAGACCATGAAGAGGCACTATTTTAGGGAGGCAACTCTTTGGCTGTTTAGAACTTAATGGCCCTAATCAAACCATAACTCCACCCAAAGGTTAATGGACCACCAATCCAGATTCTAGAGCAGTATAGATATGCCCTTTGCTTTACTTCTTAGACTCCAACCTGCTACGTGAGACAGACTATCACTTTTATATAAGATGGCTTTATGGTATCAACTGACATACATGAGGCCTTGCTCTTTACTTGCTTTCTAATGACTTTTTAATGTCTACTTGAGGGGAAGAAGTTGCACAATTTAGTCACCCAATAATGCTCTACTCCATAGAGAATAAACAAACCCTCATGATCCAGTTCTACAGCCTGTCCTTTTATGTTGTTATTGCTGTCTCACTCTTTCCCCTTCTTTCCCGTCTTTTCTAAAACCATTTAGAGCCGGAGATCACACAATTTAGATCTCAGGGGGACTGTGGTAATACTGGATGAAGCTCACAATGTGGTAAGTTATTTCATCTCTCATTTCTCCAGCCTCACACAAACAAAACACCCAGCATTTGTCTTAGTACTAGATCTCTGCAAAAGCTGTTGTAAATTATTTCAACTGTTGCTGTGATAGTTTAGGTAGCTGGTTAGTAGGCATGCATGGGGTTTCATCTGTCTTGGGGGACCTGGTGACCATCTATAAACTCACTAGGGGGGACCAGAAGGGTTTGGGAGAGACCTTGTTTCCCTGAGCACCCCCTGCATAACAAGGAATAACGGCCACAAGTTGTTGGAGAGTCGGTTTAGATTAGACATCCTTAAGAACTACTTCACGGTCAGGGCGGCTAGGATCTGGAACCAACTTCCAAGGGTGCTAGCTCCTACCCTGGGGGTCTTTAAGAGGAGGCTTGATGCCTACCTGGCTGGAATCATTTGAGCCCAGTTTTTCTCCTGCCCAGGCAGGGGGTTGGACTTGAAGATCTACAAGGTTCCTCCCGACCCAACTTCTATGATTCTGTGAAATGTGCATGAGTACTAAGACTAAAGCAGTTGTGTTGTATTCTATAAGCTTGTATCCACGGTAGTTCATTCTTTGCCTTTCGTGTATAGTAGTATGATCAGTAGGATGCCAGGAGTCTAATATTGCTCCCAATCTGCTACTAATTGGGTTTCATATTTCTAGAAGAGATGAAATCTCCATTTTTTAACATTGTGCAGTAAAGATACAATCAGTAAAGCTCTGTAAATCTTGTCCTTTGTGCAAAGTGCATTGGATACAGAACAGAGAGACCAGTGCAGGTGAGAGCTTTCAGAACCTACATGTCAAAACTGCAGGATGGACTTTTCAAACTAGTGATTAAGCCTAGGAAACATATAGGCTACTAAGCGGCTTGGGCTCAGTGACAGGTATTATAGACCTACCTGAAATCCCTTTGTTAAAAGTGCTGTAGAGTCCCTTGAGTAGGATTGTGGGTGGCAGCACACTTTATTTACTCTCTAAGAGTTTGTTGCACAACTGTATCCTTTGTTAGTCAGGATTTCCTGAAGCAACGCTGGCAGGAGCATTGCATTTGCTGGTAGTAGGAGGGATTTACGCTTTTTCTTCTGGAAAGTATATATAATCCCAAATCCATTTCTTGTGGAGCGTGGTTGAGGTGACTGAAGATGGAATAGGGAATTCAGGCCTGGCAAGCAGCGACCCGGAGGAGGACTTGGGGGTCTTGGTGGAGAATCCATTGAACCTGAACTCTCAATGCAGTGCTGGGCCCGAAAGGGTGAATATGATCTTTAGTTGTACAAATAGGAGTGTACAAGTAAGAGTAGGGAGGTTAGTTATATTATCTTGTATTGGGCACAAGTATGATCACTGCTTGTATATTGTATAATGTATATCAAAAAGTAAGTTAAGGCGTGAATTTAATGAGGGTTTTGAAGTATCTGAAAAGGAAATAGAAAACTGATAAATGGCTCCCACTAGGATTGGGAGCAATATCAAATAGGGAGTAGTATCTTCCATCTGAATTGGAAAAGTTGTACAGGTTTGCAGTGGCCAGAAGCTGAAGCTTGACAAACTGATGCTCTTACGTGCAGCCTTTAAACCAGGGGTCAGCAACATTTTTGGGTAGGGTGCCAAAAACATCCCAACCTCAGCTTAAAAGATGTTGTCGTGCCAGGGGAGATGGTGGGAGAGCTGTGAAGGGCCCGATCCTTGTTGTGGCAGTGCAGCCCCAGCCCCTTTCTTGCCATCTGCCCTGAGGTGTGTGTGCACCCACCACCAGCAACGAGCTGAGCTGGGGCTCCATGGACCCCGGTGCAGCCTCCCGGCTGCCTGCCACACCTGGCTCAGGCTCTGGGCAGGTGCACCTTGGGGTGGATGGGGGAGCTGTGAGGGGCCCAATCCTTGTTGTGGCAGCACAGCCCCGGCCTCTTCCCTGAGGCACATATGCCAAGCAAACTGCCTTCACGTGCCATGCTCTGGCATACATGCCAGGACTTACCAACTCCTGCTTTAAACAGCCAGGGCATTTAATTTTTAGAACGTTTTGCCATCGAGAGTTGTTGTGGATTCTCCATCACTGCGGATCTTTAAATCAGGACTGGAGGATTATGTAAATACATTTGTTCAGTTAGAAATTATTTTGGGGGAATCTGTTTGCCTGAATTATGCAGGTTAGATTAATTAATCAAAGGCCAGAAGGAACTAAATAGCTTGGGAAATAGCCAGCATATACAAGACACCAAAGCAAGCCAAATTAATACTTTTTTCCTTCCATTTCATCGATGTCCCAGGAGAAGTTGTGTGAAGAATCATCTTCATTTGACTTGACTCCCTATGACCTGGCTTCAGCTATGGATGTTATAAATGTAGTACTGGAAGAACAAGCTAAAGTAGTTCAACAGAATGAAATCAATGCTGAATTCAATATGGAGGTGACCAGCTCAGGTTAGTCGGCAGCTATGAGCCAGTGGTTCACAGGGAGTGTCACTGGCAACAAATTTAGAAGAAAAAATCTTGTTTTCCCTTAATTAGTCCCTGGACAGTAGAATCTGGATAACAGATCAGTTTACTTAACAGCGATGACGCCTAAAAAAAGAATTAAGTAGAATACGCAAGATACAGTCATATGAACTCTGGCTTTAGTCTTCAAGAGCTGTAGTATCTATAAAGGCAGTAGGCAAGCCTTGTTTCACGTGGAGGACTAAAACATACTGGCTGAAAAAAATGGGATTAAGATAAGGAATAGTAGCTTAAAATATCTGAACATTTATTCATCCTTGGGCAGTTAGGATTGAATTGCTTTCCCTTCTTCACCAGGTTTGGGCATGGAGCTTGAAGATATAGCAAAGATAAAGAGTAAGTTCCATTCTTTATTTCTTTTATCTTAACAGACTTGCTGTTGAGAGTAGCCAAAAGTGCTCTGGGTGATGATTTTTTAATCAAGAACACCCAGCTCTTCCTCTGACAACTTTCCTTAATTAGAGGGGAAAGTTTTTCCATTTTCATTAGACAATTTGACCACGTGTACAGCTGTATTTTAAGAATGAACTGCACCACTGAGATTTGGGAAGGCTTCCCCAGTTCTGCTCTGGCTTGAGGTTAGTTAAATGGGGTATGGAGGCACTGACACACTGAGGGCAATGTACAAAGTTGTTATGAGTGAAAACAAACCAAAATCACCAGCAATCACGGATAAGAGAAATGGGAGAAAAAGACAAAGTATCTAGTGTCCACAGTTGTCATGAAGAGATCTGGAGCTGCTCAGGTAAGGCAGCCAGTCATTAATGAATTTTCCATCTAACTCTGTCCCCCCAGCCTCTCCTTCAGGAATTAACCCCTGTACCTCCAATATCTAGCTGTTCCATGTACTCATCACTTATGTAATATATAAATATCGGAACCTCTAGGAATACAAAATACTACATTTGGAATTGGCTAGTACTGAACTATGCTTTTACCTTATTTTAATTTGATAGTTGTTACAGTGGCACTTGTGCAGATGTAACTCCATTCAGTTCCTAACATTCTTCTTATTATATCCCAGAGAGTCTTATTGCCCATGCTTGTAGTTGCTTTATCACTTAAGTATGTTTCCCTGAAATCATTTGAGAAGGTTCTTATTTCGGTTATCTGTCCATGCCAAGCTTAAGCAGGGCATGAATCAAGACTATGTCAATTGACACTCCTGCATCCTTTGCTTGTTCCTGTCTTAGCCTTACTGCATCTTAAACCAGACCATATCAATGACGTGTTTCATTCTTTTGAATACTGAGTATGCTTCAGTAAAGCGTTTATTTAGCTGGTAGAAGAGTTATTCATTTTTTTTCAGTTGCTGGGCTGTTCTTGATTTGTAACCCATCACTTGTTTGGCAATGCATTCGTTTTGCCATTTTGCTGTAGTGAGTTTTACTAGCCAGCAATAGTTGGTGGTCAAGAGTCTGCCCTTTTAATCAGAAACATTTTCATCCCTTGCAAAAAGATTATGTGGTGGGGATAGAAGAGAACTGGCAATTATGGAGCAAACTTTTGATTCCAAAGCACCTTGGTTTTAGGACACTTCCCTAGCATATAAAGGAAGCAGGTTAATCAATCCATTCAGGTTGCTTGTATTTTTGCCTGGTAGTGGAAGGAAGCTTGGATGTGTAATCTGGGATTGTAGAGTGGAAAAATAAAAATGGAAAACTTTAACTTGGCGAGCCAGAAAGCATCAGGGTTTCCCCCATTACTAGACTGATATGCCATGTAGTCTGCAGCTATACACAGAATTCTTCTGTTAGGGATTTAAAACATTATTGTTACAAACTAAATGTGTACTTCCATAGTTCCACCCTACAATTTCAAATTAATCATAACAATTATTTAGGCGTCGTGCCAATATTTCATCCATTAGGTTGAGCTGTTAATGTTACTATTTTTGCCTCTTTGTTAGGCTCTCATTTTAGCACAATACTTTCTCAATAAGAAGCGGCAGCTCAGCAAAGGTATTTTAGAGTGTCACAGAGCAATGTGGCACTTAAAAGCTCAGTTTGCTGTGTCACTGGATGCCTTTGGTTTAAAGGCTATTGTTACAGAACGACAGTGCTGCCTTGTAGGTAGAGCGCAGGTAGGTTCTCTTTCTGGCTCTGCCATTGCCTACTGGGTGACCTTGGCCAAGTCACTTTACCTTTCTGTACCTTGTTTTCCCCATCTGGAAAATGGGGATCTAGATATAAAGTATTTTGAAATCCACTGATGAAAACCATTCTTTTCTCTGTAGTTGTTGACTGTCCATCTTAAAGCATGTATGTTTATGGTTCCATAACCTTCATCTCCTGGGCTCAGGTACACTGAGAAAGTGACCTACTCACTGAACTGAAGAGGCCCTTACTGAGCCAGAGATGCAGAGGTAGCCTACCCATGAGAGTCAGTGATAGGGAAGATGTTTATTTTGCATTTATTAACATTTCTTTTACTACCTCATTCCAATAAAGGCCAGAGCCCCTTGTGTACGCAGGGGAACAAATGGACGTGTGTTCCACTGCTTTACGAAGATTTCATAATCGACATTTGACGAGCTTTCCTGTGTCTTTTATAGAGCATTTCCCCATATTTGTCTAATTTTTAACCTCAGTCTTTCCAGTTGCAAAACAGAGAGCCACGCTTGATTATTAAATTCCTTGGGGCTGCTGTAAGGTTCAGTTAGTAAATGGTCATTAAGTCCTTTGGTGGCATATAAGATTTCATAGATTTCATAGACATTTGGGCTGGAAGGGACCTTGGAAGATCATGAAGTCCAGCTCCCTGCCCCAGGGGCAGGAAGTCAGCTGGGGTCATAGGATCCCAGCAAGATAAGCATCCAGTTTCCTCTTGAAGGTGTTCAATGTAGGTGCCTGAACCACCTCCGTTGGCAGGTGGCTGTTCCAGACCTTGGGGTTCGGACAGTGAAGAAATTCTTCCTTATGTCCAGCCTGAAATGGTCTTGCAGTAGTTTATAACTGTTTGACCTCATCATCCCCTGGGGCACTGTGGTGAACAAATGTTCCCCCAGATCCTGGTGGTCACCCCAATAAACTTGTAGGTGGCCATCAGATCACCCCGGAGTCTGCGCTTTTCCAGGCTGAAGAGCCCCATGGCTCTCAGTCTGTTGTCGTAAGGTCTATTTTCCTGACATATAAACATAAGAGAAGATAAACATAAGCAATGTGAAGGTTTAGAAGCTGACTGGTTGAAATCACTAAAAGTGGAATTAAATCATTTATATTTAATCTGTTTTGCAATCCCAGACTGGTTACAGAAGCTCGGATTCTGGAACTGGAACTAGGTGACAATCTTCGTAACTGCGGGCATTTACAAGCGGGGTTTAGATGAGTTCTGAATGTTTCAATTCTGGGAACCGTATTACTGTTTTATGTCTCGGTTGCCTTGCAGAGATTCTTCTCCAGCTGGAAAATGCTATCGATTCTGTGGAGCTGCCAGGCAACGAAAAGGGTGTCACTAAGGAAGGGAGGTAGGTGCCGCTCGGAGATTTTCATTCCAAGATTGCTATTGTTTATTAGTATGTTAGAGGGAGAGGGAATTTCCAGCCCAGTGAAGAATATCTGGGTTGTGAGCAGCATCTCTAAAAAGCCTCTTGAAAGTAACTCCATGCTTTTAAATAGAAAACTCCAACTGAGTGAATAGCAAGAAGTGTGCCAAAACTGTTAGCTGTTTTTAACATTAGTTATGTTGTTCTGGCTCTGGACATGGTTTTTATAATTAACTACTGTTATGAGCATAGAGTATTTTTGATGAGGTCTCAGAAATGTTCCTTATTTTACTTATTTGCTTCCATGTTGATTAAGTAGTCAACTGTTTTAAATCCAAAGAACAGTCAGTATTAGACAACAGGAAACATGGCATGTGTCAGATTTGACCCAAAATGACTTAGCACCACGCCTCTGGTGTCTTGTAGAAGGCTGGAAGGATAGCAGTTGGTTTATTATATGACGGACTCTACAGTATCTCCTACTCTGATTCAGTTTGCTGTGCTAGCCTTTCACTATTTACTAATGGCAGGGAGCACTGATGCCTGTTATAAGCTGGAGCCACAGCTTGTATAAAAACAGTAAGATACAGTTTGGAAACCCCCGTATAGAGGGTGTGTGCATGTATGTACATTGTGGTATGCTGAACCTGAAGAAGGTCTTTGGGTGTGGACAACTGTATACTTCTCATGTTAAGAGGGGACTATTTCTGTAGAGCATGCTGCAGTCGATCCACTGTAACTAATAGGTGATTTGGAGCGACACAGGTGAGCTGTCCCCCAGCTCTGACTCGGCTGAAAAGTTGCAGAGGTTTTGCTACGCTTGCAGTTACATTCATTGTTCATGGAAAGTGTTTGTACATGATGTGTTTTTCAGAGTAAATGAGCTTTCAAGCCAAAATATGCTGACATAATCTTGCAGTAGAGTTTTGTTTGTTTTTCATACTTTGTTAACGCCACACATCATGGAGAAGGGAGTACAGTGAGCTACTAGGGAGAAGTCTTATTCTTTTGGAGTAATAAATGGTTATTTGCAAGTTTTGCCCACTTGTGCTTTTCTTTCTGAATTTGCAGCTACATCTTTGATCTGTTTGCAGAGGCCCAGATTACTTTCCAGACAAAATCGTCTCTCATGGAGTCACTGGAACAGATTTTACAGTTTCTGTCAGGCCGTAAGTATAAGATTGTCACTGCATTTAGTACATTTCTCAGTTCTATGGGTAATACCTGATAGTAGTTTCCCTCGGTTGCAAATAAATAGGAACCTGCATAATTTTGGAACAAAAGGAAAATGGGAACTTTGAACAAAGCTGGACTTATTGTGCCCATACCTCTGTAGTTATAAAAAACCAAAATACTACCAGTTGGAAGTGTAGCATATCATCAAGGTTAACACAGATTTTATTGCCTTTATTGGGCTGTGTGTTTTCATGTCTATTTTAATAACAAACCTTATTTCTGAGATGGCACTTGGTACAAAAGCTGAGTGTGCACAAATGCATGTGCCTTAAGTGCATTGTTCTCCAGACAGCCAAAACTAGAGCAAGCGTGAGGGGAGCTTCTTGACCTAATGATGGCTATCCTTGAGTTACGATACAGGAAAAATGAAAAGCTGCTGACACTTTGCCCTTTTCCTGAATGACTAACACACTTCTGCTTTAGTTTCTTAACTTCTTTGATTGATAGGTTTGTTCTTCTCTTGTCCTTTTGCAAGAAAAAGATTTGACTATTTGCTTTTACACCTCTTCAAAAAATGGTCAAGCTGATTCTCAGTTAGCAACGTTGATTAAAAGTATTTGTTGAGAAGCATGATCACTAGAGCACAGGCTGTCAGCCTAACGAGAGAGCCTTTGTGAACCTCTCTGCTGCCTCTTTACCTTTTATTCCTAGTCTATATTCTCTCTTTATGCCTCCTGCACTCCGGCTAGAAGTTGTATTTATGTTTCTTATGGGAATGGAGAGAGCTGATTCTTCTTCATATTTGAACTTTCAGTCTTCCAGCCTCCTATCCTTTGCTGGCTATATCCCTCTCCCTGTTGTCACAAATGCAAAGGCATTAGTATCTGCAGCAGGTGCCAGTTTGAGCCCGTTACATTACAAATTATGGTCAGTTCTTTTTGTATTGTTTTTTAATCAAGTCAGTATTAACTGCTCTGTAAGCTTCTGAAAAGCTGCTCAGTAATTTCTACTTGCTTATCTCTGTCTTGATTTCAGTACATGGAAAGTCATTTAAAATGTTATTTATTCTTGAATGCCCACCTACTTGCCTAGTTGACAAAATCATGCAAGATGACGGGTTACCTGCATTTGAAGTACAGTTCTGTTACCTTAATTAGGCAATGGTACTCCATGGGTTGTGGTCCAGATGACTTAGTATTCAACCAAGTGAGGTGGCATAAGGTTCCCTAGAGAAGTCCCGGCTCCTACTTTAAAAGAGCTCCATAGTATGTTTGGGACTGATTACAAGTAAATACAAGTGGCATGAAGGCTGCTTCTAAGTGTATGTTGGAGACCGAACAAAACGCTGAAATCCTGTTATGTTTCAATTTTTGCACCCCAAACAGTCAGGGAAATCTGCTCGATTCATTTATATTTTGGCATTAGATGGTATTTTAATAATAACATGCTGTCCTCTGTAGGTACTGGGATATTTATCAACACATCTGGATTACATAAACTTTCAGACATTATCCAGGTAAATGATTCTATGTGGCATCTTCATTTTTACTTCTAAAAGGCTGAAACGTTGTTAGAGAATGTGGGAAGACATTAAAGAAGTCTCTTCTGTCTTTGGACCGCTCTTTTACCTATGTGGGAGTTGGCATGCTATAGACATGTCTACCTAGTCATTGAATCAAGGAGTATTGCTCCCAGTTTGTCCTCAGATAATTTTGAACAGAGGCTTTGTGCCTTTCACTCTGAACATTAAGGAGTGAGTACAGCTATTGCTGTTGGTTTTCTCAGGTTAGAGATTGTTTATTCTCATGTCACTCTGGTCCATGTGGATTATGGAGGGCAGCCTGCTTAAAAAATCCTGAATTAGCACTGTTCTGAATTTTCTCTTCACATGAGGATCTCTAAAAGGGACGGAAAGTACATTTATGGGAAATGCTGAATTGCCTTGTAATATTCTGAAATTTTTACCAAGTTGATAATGAAGGAATGTGAAATTCTACACTGCTGTTTCTTTACCCTTGTCAGATGCTGTTTTAAGCTCATGCACATAGATATCCCTTTTGGAGAAGTCAGACTTAAATATGATTCAGTTATTTCTGGTCCCCACCAGGAGGAGCTACAATCTTGCGCTGTACAAATGGCATGTTAAGCTAGCTCTGTTTGGGCAGATGAGATCTTCCCTCGAAAGAGTAAGCTTCAGTTAGAAGCAGAAGTAGATTGAGATTATCTCAACTGGGTTTTTTTGATTTATTTATGGAATGCAGAAAACCTGTAAAAGAGAGAACCTATAGGGGTGTGTTAGTGGTGGACCAATAGCGCACCAAGACAACACGGGCATTCTGCACTGTCACCTGTTGCAGAATTATAGAATAACAAACGTGTGTACGTTTGATTGGGAAAGTGGATGTAGTAAACTTGGAAGTTCGCATGGGTCAGTGAACTGAAGTTCATGCCCAAGCCTTTGTGTTCAGACATATGACGACAGAGTGGCAAAGATGTTTGAAGAACTCAGCGTTCAAAATGAAGAGCATCTAACTTGAAATATTTTCCACTGGAAAAACTGCTGACTCTCTAAACTGAGGTCACTTAATTCCTAGAATTTGGCCATTTCTCATCACTCTCCCTGTTTGAGTCACTGTAGATCAAGTTGAACTGGACTTTTCCCAAAAGCTGCTGATGAAATTGGAACAAACTTTGTATAATTGTTTTTCTCATTGGTTATGGTTCAGGCAGTTTCCTGAAGCCTTCTGTTCCCCATATGTGACAACAGCATAGGCACCGAGTATGTGGGGGCACAAAGGCCTTGGTCCCTCTTGGGAAGAGGGTAGGGTGACCACCCACCCCTAACTGGGCAGAACTGAGATATGTTCCCATTCTGGGAACTTAAAGTCCCAATCCCAGGCGACACGAGTCCACCACAGCAATTGTTCTAGATTCCCAGTATTGTGCTGGGATCCTGGTTTTCCGTTCACCATGGAAAAACGCAGGAAACGGTGGGTTTCACCTTGCAAGCTGGCAGAGTTCTAGTCTGCAAGGAGCTGCGGGGAGCGGGATGCCAGGGGCACCACGTGCATGTACACGTGTGCACACAAGCTCATGGCTGGAATACAGGTCCAGGCAGCTGCGGAGAGCAGCTCTCTCAGCTGCCTGCAGGTAAGTCTGTGGGGGGAAGTGAGGTGAGGGGCAGATTGCAGCCCCCACAGTGAGGAAGGGAGTGGGGCACGGGCTGGGCCTCAGGGCACTGCTCAGCCAGACCACTGCACTGGGGCCAAGGCAGGGAGCAGGAGAGAATCACAGGCAGCTCATTCAGGGGTGGAGAAGGGGCTGCTGGAGAGGCGGTCATGGGGGGGCATATGCCTCCCCCCTCCCCCCCCCAGTTTTGTGCACAGGGTGGAGGTGGAGGTGGAGGTGGGCTGCCTGCTGTGGGGTCAAAACTTCCCGCCCTACTGGCTTCCCCCTGGGAGCTCTTCACTGCCATGGCAAGGTGCCCCCTGCCCACCCAGCAAAAGCAGGGGTGGGAGCATGGAGCTGTGCCCTCCACTGCTGCTGGGCAGAAAGGGGGCGCCTTGCCATGGCAGTGTGGTTGGCGCAGGGCTCCTGGGGGCCTGGAGCTCCAAGTGCCCACATCCACCCCCTGCACCCTCAAAGGGCTCTGCTCTGGCCATGCCACCCAGAGGTGGGGGGGGGCATCATTTTAGGCCCCTGGCCAGCAAATTAAAAGTTGGCTCCTGTGCACAATGGTGGTGTGGGTTTATATAATCATCAATGCTTAATTTATGCTCAAAACTTTCTTGTTTAATATGAAAAGATTCACAAGGCCAAAGTCAATATTTGGACATTTAGTCAATGACGCAGAAACTAAATTACGGCAAAATAAATGAAGCAGTTAAAGTAAAAGCCTGGTGGCCTTTCGAACTGATGAATTTTTCAGTGGTGTCATGCCCTAGTTCATTCAGTGTAGTGCCCTGGATTTAGCCCTGTCAGATAGCTTACACCCTTTGATTTGGAAGAGCTCTGCCATATGCAGCCTTTTCCAGAAAAATATGCTGCTTGGAAATGTCGGTTGTAAATGTTTAAGAAGTACCAACGTTCCAGAAATCTTGGGAAACGAAAGTCATCTCTGGCAGCAAGGAGATGGAAGAAAGCTGTCTGTGCAGGAGGAAAGGAAGCAGGGCCAAAGTGATCTTCAGTCACACTATTACATGGTTTCTTCTGCACTTGCTCTCTGGGCATAGCACCAACTCTAACGTTTCTCTGTTTGTAAAGGATTATATGCTAACCATTGGCTTCTCTGTCTTGCCAAAGGGCTTACCCTGCAGCTTGTTATAATTACTTTTGCTGTGCTATTACGTATAACAGTCTCCCTTATTCCTTGTAACTACAGTAGCTGGCATGCTCCTAAACCTCTTCCAAGGTGGCCCCTGGCCTTTGAAGGTCTAGTGCTGTAATGAAAAGTTGCTGTTTCTAAATGATGCTTCTGAGACACTTTTTGTCACGTGGCAGCATTTAGGTAGACATGTCTTCACCTCCTTGAGGAAGGGTACTTGTGCCTGAAAGCTTGCAAAGAACTTTGTTCCAACTGCTCAGCTGGTCTAATAAAAGAGATCACATAGTTTCATAGACCCAAAGAACCTGGCCTGCCTGTGCCTTAGACCAACACGGCTACATCCAAAAACTCTGCACTTCCTTGGGGATTCCTAAAAAATGTGATGCATGTAATGGTGGGTTGTCCCATGTTTCTATCAGGAACTGCCTGCTTTGGCAGATTAAATAAACTTATTTCTTTCTGCCACGGAATTTGACAGGAAGGGACAGAGGTTTTCTGTTTTGTTCTTTTTCATTCAGTAATCTCACGAAAACAACTGCCTTTCTTGGAGCGGAACTGGCCACTCCACACCCAGCAGCTGATTCTGGCCCTCAGATCTAAATAGGCTCTTTCATTCTCCATTGTCCTAGATGTTGCTGTTGAGGCCATGCTGGGGTTAGCTGTGCAGATAGAAAGCAAATGTGTCCAGAAGCACACCACTGAAAACCACACTTCTGGAGGCAGGCCGTCGGAAGAACAGCATGACTCTTGACCTCTTTCTCATGGGGCAATGGCTGGACATGGTGCTGTACTTTGATTGGTCAGCTGTACATTCTCTGGGTATGCAAACAGGATTGGGAACAAGTTACGTTCCTATTGAGATTCAGTTCAGGCTCAGGGCCACTATGCTGGGGACGTGGTACGAACATGCTTATCTTGGTTTTCGTCAGCGCAGCTGAGTGAGTGCAGTGCCTTGTCAGCCGAATGTGTCTTATTGCTCCATGCAGCGGGAGTAGGCCTCATTCTTATGACTCATTTCCATGGGAAATACAAACCAGAAGGGGTTTGGTGGCAAATCTCTGGGTCTTGTTGCCTCATGTTTCTTTTTAAATACACCACCATCCTATCCCTTTGGCCTAAAAGGAAGATGTCAGACTAGTTCTATGTCATCCAGAATTTCTTCCACTTGAAGCTCCTTTTCACGTTGCCTTTACCAGTCTCCATCAAACTGTTAAGAGTTGGTGCCGACTCTCTGTATCTAACTGGTGCTGTTGTGTCTGGTGCAATGGGTGCTGCTTGTTTCCAGCAAGTCCCAAAAGGAAAAATCTAAAGTTTGATGCTTCAGCTCACTGAGTTGAAACAAGGCTGGCCCCGTTCGATTTGTAGCACAGAGCCGGTCCTGCATACATGAATGGCTCTGTGCCCATGAACGCAATGTGTGCCCAGCCAGTAGGACGTTGTGTTTCTATACGGACCCTGATGTACTGAACACCTGGGCTCTGATGTGCCGCTAGCACTTCATATCTCGAAGTGATCTGCAGAGCAAGGGTGAGTAGGGAAAGAGTCTCAGAGGAAATAATTTGTTCATGGTTTCAAGCAGAGAGGAGGGGGTCAGCCTGAAACAATCCAGATCTTCTGGGCTGTTTATTGGCCCCAGTCTGGTTCTTTATGTGCTGGGATGATCTGGTTCCATTTTTCCAGCTTTCATTTTCCATTTTTTGAGCAGCTTATTTTTATTAGTGGATTTTCCAAAACAACAAAAAAAATTAAACCTCAGCAAAATCCTGCTTAACTGCTGCCCTGTGACTGTTTTCCATCATTTAAACTTTCCAGAATTCTACTTCTGTTTCTTTTTTCAGTGGGAAATAACTTCCTGTTACTACCATCTGGGTAGCCGAGAGCACTGCTAAATTCCTGAAGAAATTTTGTGTGGAAAATAGTTATAAACATTTTGAGAACCCCAGCTGCTGTCCCTAAAGAAACCCTGACCTTCTAGCTGAGTTTGTAATTCCACGTGGAAAGGGGATTTGCTTTTTAGTTGCAAGACGTAGGAAGAGCAAAGAGGCACTGTCCGTTCAGGACAGAGCCAATGCTACTTCTGATTTTTATATGTAGAATTTGGAACCAATAATGGCTGCTCGTGTCTTGGAAAAGGACACTGGTAGAGCACGTTGTTGTAGCTGAGATTTTAAGCTGAAGTCAGAGGATTCAAAAGGGTCGTCTTCAGAGCAGCTGTGACTCTGCTGTCTTGTGCACTGTAGTGCTTCTGTTCATCATAGGGTAACTCGATCATAGTTTCATAGTTTCTAGGGTTGGAAGGGACCTGAGCAGATCATCTAGTCCGACCCCCTGCCATGGCAGGAAAGAGTACTGGGGTCAAATGACCCCAGTAAGGTGGTCATCCAACCTCCTCTTAAAAACCCCCAGGGTGGGAGCCTGCACCACCTCACTTGGAAGCTGGTTCCAGACCCTAGCCGCCCTGACC